AAAAAAAAAAAAATAAATAAATAAATAAAATAAAAAGCAGAGGCAAATAATTAACATGGGGGGAAATTACTTCCATTTTTCTTTGCTTCTAGTCCTAGTCCTAATCCTATGGGGACAGATTTAAAAGCTAATGGTTATCAGGAGACCATAAAAAAGGAATAAGAAAAATAAGAGACCCCATAGTTTGAGCTCCATGGTTGAGAAAACATGGGTCAGTATCTTTTCTCTAAATTCACTGGTATACTTTATCCCACTGGAATGGAGCAATATAGTAGTAGTTTCTTAGTTTTGTTTTTTGTGCCTTAACATGTTTTTTCCTTCTGGATTCTATTGGTACACTACAGGTGTTGAAAAGTATATTTAAAAAGTACATGATCTACGTATAAACATTTATAGATTTAAATCTGTGGGAAAGATACTGAATTTGCCACTGTTACTACTCTTGGGATACAGCCACACTCATTTGTTTACATATTGTCTATGGCTCCTTTTCCACTATAACAACTGACTTGAGCAGCTGCAATAGAGTCCATATGCTTGCAAAATTGAAAATATTTGATATGTGCCCTTTAACAGAAAAAAACTTCTAAAACAAATGTTAATAAAATACAAGTTTCCTGATAACTTGCATCAGTTCTATCAATTTTCCAGGTATATCTGAAAACACATCCCCCAAATGCTACAATAGCCATACAACATTTTTGTTATTGGTCATGTAACTGAAAACATATCAATGGCTTAAGTCCAAGAATAATGTGGACTTCAATCTGGTAAACAGTTACCATTAAATTAATTTAAGCAAACATACTTTCTAGTAGAGTTAACACCCATTTATTAGTTATTAAATACAGGAAGACTTGGGTAACTCTGAGATGTCCATTCTGAAGTTTAGCATCAAAGGTGAAGAAAAAGCTTTTTTTGGTTTCCATCTGTAGTCTCTGATCTACCATGTTAAACAAATATTAAAAAAGTGTTTTGGGGGTACCTGAGTGGCCCAGTCAGTTAAGTGCCTGACTCTTGATTTCAGCTCAGGTCATGATCGCACAGTCCTGAGATTGAGCCCGACATCGGGCTCCACACTGAGTGTGGAGCCTGCTTGGGATTCTCTCTCTCCCCCCCTCTCTCTCTGCCCCTCCCCTGCTTGTGTTTTGTCTCTCTCTCAAAATAAATTAGCATTAAAAAAAGTGTTTTGAACAAGAAAAAAATAACTTCTTCATTGAGTTACACTTACACACACAAAAACAGACCAAAAAAGCAATAATCCTACAATGACTTCCCAACTTCTTCCTTATATACAAGAATTACAAGATAGTAAAACTTGGATCATATGCTTGTAATCTTGCAAGCAAGCAAGCTAATACATAGGAAAGCAAATTACTTATTACTCATTCTAAAAATTCTGTAATCTATTTTCCCTCTCCTTTTCCAAAGACTAGTTGGTTCATCACCCACAAAAAAATCAAACCTTATTTCATAAGATTAAAACAAAAAATTCTTCATTATACATACACAAAATCAGAAATCTTTTTCCTAATACAAACTAATACAAAGATCTTTGAATTACAATATGTATTATGTTTTGCAAATAAAGTGACAGGTTATGCTATTCATGACGACACTTAAAAAATTGAGCAAGTTGATAAAAACAGGTATGGAAACACACTGTAAAGGAAATCCAAGAAATAGTATAAAATTAAGCCAAAAAAGATTTCTCTTTAAATATTTTATTTCAAAAAGAGTCAACTTCTACATAAAAAGATGAACCAATCCGAGATATTATTCAATAAAATTTCACCAAAATGTCATACATTTAAACCAGAATTTAATAGAGCTCTCAGCTTACACATTTTACAGCTTCAAACTAAAATTCCACCATAAAAAATTTAAGGCATTGATTTATTTTCCCAGCTTTTCCTCAAAATAAAAACATTATTTCCAGGTTAAAGTTTTCACTGTTCTTATCAAAATTAAATTTGAAGTAGTAACAGAAGTAGAAATTTACCCATGAGGTATTTCTAAATATTATTACATTTTATGCCTTTTCCCATTTTTCTCTTTTTATTTTTTTATAGCATGGTAGTCACCTAGGTTAGTAAAACAAAAAATTCCTGTTAACACTTTTAAAGGAATTAAGTTTTATATGTTACATGCAAGAAAGCACACTACTCATCTTTAAGGGCTAGAAGTTTCTATGATGAATATCATGTACATGAAATTAGTTATAAAATCACATAAAAAATTTGACAGCAATTTTTAAAATTGTACTACATTCTTATAACATGAAAACAAATCTAACCATATGCCTGTATAATCACACCTGTGATCTCTTCATTAAACTGTAAATCTTCCGATAATCTCTAATACAACAATCCACAGTATTTCAAATTGCAAAGAAATGTTTCCTACCTTGCCTGCTTCTCTTTCTAAGTCCACATACTCCCGGCTAGGTGTCTGTCGTTGTTCTCCCTGCCAGCTGGCCGGAAAAAACTGGAGAGATAGATTGGTTCCTGTGGCCACAAAAGCCTTTTAGAAAAATCAATACAAACAGGATCAGGAGCAGGACATTACATAAATTATGCAGGCAGTCATTTATTTTTACATCAGTTTCTGTCTTAAGCCAGGCAGCACCGAGAATACTTAAAAGTAAAAAACACACACTCATCATTTTTCTTAAGTATTAAGTTACAAACATCTGATTCCATTTTGAGGACATTTGCCATTGGCTGCTTAAATATAAAATCAGACATGGAATCAATACTTTCTTTCAGGTCATTTTTTGCTGACGTTAGGATCTTGCATTGCTAATGTCTAACCAGAAGCCATCTCCTTGAATTTAAAAACTTCTATTTTTAAATGTGAAAAACACTGAAGATCTAAACATTTTGAATTTTAAAGCATACCACAATTTAAAGTTGTATAAATGGAGACATTTTAATTTCTCTTGATTTCCTTTGCTCAATGAAACACTATGCTTTAAAGCTCAGGTTAAAAATGCTCGCGACTGTCTCTTCGGATAAACAATACATTAGCATATGATGTGATGGAACTTCTCATCTGGCTACAACCTTAGGTGATTTAAAAAATATGCATTTTCTAAAATTTAATTTTAGGAGAACTGGATCTGACTATACAAACGAGTATTCATCTAATATTTATAATAAGATTTGGATGCATGGTTCAACATATGGAACAATCTAAAACCATTTCAATAAAGTATTCTGTGTAGCCCCTAAGCGATTTATATTTCCTCCAAGTAAAAAATGGAAATAACGGCGTCCCTCTTCCCAAGGGAAATTCAGAGAGAAAGAAATAAGTAAAAAACATTTTTAAAAAAAAACCAAACATTTTTAATCATCTAAATGTAAACTCTTCTTTCTTTGTTGAAACGAGAGAACGTTTTTGTTTTATTTTACTAATTAAAGTTCTACAACATACTTTGTGTTTCCCATCAAGGAGTCTTCATCTGAAAAAGCAAGGGGTTCACATCTGGGGTAATTTGTTTAAAGCCACTGGCTGAGTCAGCTACCTGCTAGTACCCCTGAGAATTTATAGCTTAGATTCTTTAGAGGTAAAAATTTATTCCCTATTTCTATTCTTGGTATTTCAGGTACAACTGTCAACACAATTACTAAATCTCTACAGATATTTTTGATAGTATTTCCCTAATCATCTGGATACTCTTTCTTGTGGCAAATATTTTATGTGAATAGGGACTGAACAAACAACAATATTACAACATTAACCTTAAAATAAAAATCTTCCCCCATTAATAAAACCAAGTTTAAAAAAACAATCAAATGGAGTGAAATGAACCTAGGGTTCAAGAGAAAAGCAGACTCTAGAAGGCAAACTGCCTAGGCTGAAGTAAGTGACTTAGCTGTACCTCAGTTTCTCCAGTAATTAATATTTGTAAAATACTTACAATAGTACCAAGTAAATGCTATTTAAGTATTTACTAAATAACGTAAGAGAAATCATTTGGAACTGGATAAGAGAGCTAACTTTTTCAGCCTCAGATAATAAATTCTCAGAGTGGAGTGGTGGCAGGCAGATAAGCGATGCAGCCCATGAATGAATGCCTTGTGTCCAAATCCCCAGGCGTGTTTCTTTAGTATTCACCTGGTAAACAAATCCTTCCACCCGCAGTGTACCCCAAATCAGCTCAGTGCTAAGTAAAGACAGTCTACAGATCTTATTACCTCACCTCCTGTCTGAAGACCAACCTCAGAAGAGATTTCCTGCTTCATCACTTCATGCCCATTATCTCATCAAGATCCCTCTTTCAGAGAGAAGTGGTAAAAAACAGATCATTCTAGAATAGCATTTCACGAATTTATTTGACCACAGAACTCTTTTTTAATGGAATATCTATGCACACATAACTGGGAAAATTGGTTCAAAAACATAAAAATGCTACAATGTTATCACTGACTATATATAAGATTTCCAGGTTGTCCCGGCAATTATTTTACAGATTTCACAAATTATAAAATAACACCCCTTGTGTTGATCCAACATACCTTTATCCTGCCATCATCAGGATTAAAAATATAATTTTTACTGCTGTCAGAGTAGTCACCATACCTGTCCTAAGTATTCTTCTCTTTTATTAATCATTGGCGTTGAAGACTTCTCCAACACTCTTACCACAATAAGAACTTACCAGGAATAAATCAGACTTTACCCAACAGATTCTACCCCTCACCCATAATCATTTTTATTCATGCTATGATATGGAGTCTAATAAGTTTTATAGTTATAATCACATCTATCTAAATACAAAATAAATTCATTAACTTCAGTGACACACTAAGGAGATGTTCAAAATTAAAAGAATAAGAGGAGAGGGAAGGTTGGTAATAGTTTTGGAAACTATGCCTATATACTATACATAGCTGCTGTCAAAACACAGGCAAAATAATGCCTTTTCCACACCTACTTTCTACAACCAAATAAATAAAAGCCACAGCCTGTTCCTAAGTAAAAAAAATAAATTTTAGACATTATATTAGGTAACCTCTAAATTCAATTAATCAAGTACCTATGATACAAAAGGCATTATGCCAAGTACCTGTTTAGGGGGGAGTATATTAATGCATACACCACAGAATTAATGTGGTCTCTACCCTCTAGGAGCTAGGGACCTCATTACTTAAACGTGGAGAATACTGAATTAAGGGGGGGGGGGGGACTAAACAGAGGGGGAATGTGAAATTCCTTCCCAAATACAAATAGTTACATTATTCAATGAATTAAGACATGCATGCTACCTTAAGTGTACATCTTATACAGAATTCAACCTACCCTTTAACTTTTAATACTTGTCAGACATTAAGAACTTATTAAAATTTGCAGACCAGATATTTGGAAGAGAAGAAAGCCTAGAATGTTTGTCCGATTTATCCCTGGAAGAAATATATGGTAAATACAAGCAACTATTTATAATACTATAATACAGCAATTCAGATATACTGTGGGTTAAATTATACTCCCAATTCATAATTAAATACAGCAAAGTCTCCGATATGACAGAAAACACCCTAATAGCTATGCTTCACTAGGTTTCCAAAAAAAAACCCCTCAGCTCTAAAAAATCATGACGGTACTTTGTGCCTTATCTTTCACACTTACATCAATTAACTCCAGGAAATCCACTGGTTAGGTATACCATCCACCTTTTGCAAAAGGAAACCCAGACAAAGGATGATACAATCACCAGACCAACTAATGAATGATTCTTCTACTACTCAGTGCCAAAACCGAAAATATGTCTTAGGCATTTTAATCACATAATTATTATAACTACTCAAGAAACTTGGAAGTGGGCTAAAAGCTAGAGATTTTCTTTCATAACATTCACTAATGACCAAATATTCTAGAGCTCCTAATAAATTTAGCCAGTACCTTTCACATTACCTGTAACAGAATTCGAAAAAGCCTTCATTTTAAATAGCAAAATATTCATTTTAAATATTCTTTAAAAACAAAGTTGATTTAGGTGATAAAAAGGGTGAATTTCATGGCATGTGAATTGTATCTCAATAAAGTGTATCGTCTAAAGGAGAGGGGAGAAGTTAATGTTTCAACATGTCTTCCTACTGTTAACCCAAATTCAAACTGCACTCTAGCTTCAAGTCTCTGCAAATGCAAATGGGTCCAGTTCAGAGTAGATAACTGGATTCCATTACACAGTATTTCAACTTTTTTACTTTTTTAATTAATTATCGATCTCTTTTTTTTAGCTTCTTCCTACTTACTCTTTGGCTTCTTCACTGCCTCCTCCTCATTAGCACCTCCAATAGGACAACCCAAAAGATGAGACACTTGAAGGTTTGGTGGACACGAAGCACTAAATCTACCACCTAAAACATGGCCTCAAACCAACTGTGGGTTTCGCAAATCCATGCAATTCTTTGGGAACTCCAGCACTAAACAGGGTATGTGTTTCAGGTTTGAAGAAAGACAATGGTTTCTTTCTGATTCTCCCGAGGCTTAACATTCTAAGAAGATGGCTCATTCTTTAGGGCTTTTCCCCCTCTACTAAAGACAATAGATAACTGGCATAAAGATTTATTCTAAGCTATAATGGGAGTGAAACAGCTTCACCTACAGATTTACCAACAAATCCCGCGTCTTAGAAACAAACTATCGTCCAGGAATCAGATCTTTGAATGAAGCCGAATTCTTTTTCCGAATGGGTGTTTTCTTCCGTACAAACACGCCAACCCCTTTATCAGTGTCACAGCCTGTACAATGAGCTTTCCTTGTACAGTTGGGCTCCGGTGTGAGTTCCACACGCGGCAAACTGTCGAGTCGTGCCTGGGAAACATAACCGACCCGCAGAGGGCCACAGGGAAGCGTCTCCCCGCGAGGACGCGGCCCGCCAGTGTCTGGTTTCTCATTTTGAATCCCGAGTAGGAAGTGAGACGGCGCCCGCTCAGTTCCGGGAGCCGCGGCGTCCGCGGCGCCGTCCGGAACCGGCCTGGGCCGCGGCGGCCCCCGCGCAACAAGTGACCCGCGCGCGCCTCGGTCCCCGCGCCCTGAGCCCCCCATTCCCTTGCCCCGCCGACTTACGATTTCCGAGCGGCCGTCGCGGCAGGCGTTCTGGAAGCGCGCCTGGCGCTCCTCGTGGGGCCGGTCCCTGAAGCCCGTGTACTTAATCTGCAAGGCAGAGACGACCCGAAATCAGGAGCCAAATCCGCGACCGCCGCCTGCGCGCCCGCCCGCGCCGCGCGGCGCAGATAAGGACAAGCAGAGTCTGCGGGCAGGCGGCTGCCCGGGCGAGATTGCCCCTCTGCGGGCGCGCCACCCAAACTTTTCTCTGCCCGGGCCCACTCGGGGCGCGCCGCGGCCTCCGCGCCGCCTGTCTGCCTCACCTCGCATTCGCGGCTCAGCTTCCTGAAGAACTCCTCGTTCTCGAACTTGCTTCTCTGGTCAGGCACGACGCGCGGCATCTTCCCGCCCTGAGGCCGCGCCGGCCGGCCGGGCTCCGGACTTGCGCGGCACCCGCTGGCCGGCTCCGCGCTGACCGACTGACCGCCCACCCGCGGCGCCCTGACTCTCGCTTCCCTTTGTTTCAGGCGCCCGCCCGCGTGGGCTCCAGCTCCCGGGAGTCTGAGGTGCCGCCGCCCGCTCGAGCCCAGCCCACGCCGCCGCCGCCTTAGCCGTTGCCTACCGCCCGCGCCGACCCAGCACTCGCCGCCCCTGGCCGCCGCCGCCGCCACTTCCTCTCGCCGCCCACCTCGCAAGCCCGCCC